CAAGTAATTAAATAAACAAATACTAGAGTAGTAAGCTTTTTTTTAAACAAAAATTGTCCCCTACTGTCTTTTTTTGTTTAGAAGGTACTTAAATAGAACCAGAGGAGCAATCCGTTCTAGAGCTCTGTTTGAAGTATGCGTCAGATTTCTAAAAAAACAAGCAACATAACACACTTGGTAAATCAGAGTGAGTGTGAGACAAAGATAAAGGGTGAGAATGTTCAAGGTAAAATATGTCATCACTTCTAAAATGAACTAATCAATAGGAATTTGTAAATTGTCATGTACTTTATTCCTTATTTAGAACCAAGATACAAATGAGTTACTGGTTAAACTCAAAGTTCTTAAGATTTAAATTTCTTTAGATGTTATCGACTAGTTAGTAACACATGTATTGTGCATGGATCTGCTGCTGATTTCACTTTGGCACACTAAAGGTGCTTTACCATCAGTGGTGCAGAACTCAGGTTAAACAGTTTATGCCACTTCCCAAATTAATTTTGAGAAGTGCAAAACACAAAAACACACTTGACTCCTCACACAATATGTTCATACACATTTAAATTGTTATTCTTCCTTATGTTACGATTCTGTGCTAACTTTCTCTCCATGCAAAGTCCAATTAATACAAGTTTTTGTTTTTATTAAAATTGTCAGTCTTGGAGAGCTACTTACTAACTTCATCTACTCTTAGAGAAATTAGAGGTTGCATGAGAGAGATAACAAGTGGTACATACATTATCCACTCTGATCCAGTCAGCACTAATATCACACAATATCTACACCAACAAGGGATGAGCACAAAGGAACAGCCTTTCTGATCTATGAATGTGATGGATCAGCGATACCTTATGAGAGAAGAATTTACTTTTAAGGAAGATATTGTTAGGTACTACGTTCTTGACCGGAGTGGGATTTTAAATTAAGAAGATGTGATGTCATCACTGCAGTTGAATAAACTACCAAACTACTGCAAATATTGGCTTTCTAATAGTTAATTGATGCTGTTAAATAAAATTATGAAGACATTAAATCAAGATATACCCTGGTAGCATAGATCATTCATAGGACATTCTGTGAATGTTAAGAGAACCAAAATAGTTCTGTGAACGTTGTTTGAATGTCTAGTGCTACTAGGGTGGTCAAAAGGAAAGTCATAAGAAACCTATCTAGATAAAATGAATAAGCAAAGAAAGCAAAAAGATTTTCACAAACAATAATT